TTTTTAGCCCTTCAGTAAAAGCTTTTTCTTAAAATGTGCAGAGAGCTATGCCATAGGCTCTGGAAAATTGTGGAGCCTTTTAAAAAGTCATTCCTCTGTGTTTCCCCACACATCCACATCCATTCCCTTTCGGGTTTGTATTAATCAACAGCAGAAAAGTGTGTCACACAGTTTAGAAGCTACTGTATTTAGAAGAGAAGCCAGCACAGAATGCCACATGAGATCTATTTTAGAATATTGAACCTGCAAACATGTGTTTTGTAAAATAATTAGGAAAAAGTAGTACAAAATTACATTATAATTTATCCTGAGACCAATGTGTATTCTAAAAGCTGTTTATTTTAGAAATACTTCGGTGGTTCCATTAGAGATGAGAGTACAGCTTGCGTCATCAGTTTTTCCAAATGTGTGCATGGGGCAGCGTAGCTACTATGCAAAGAAGAAACAGGTTGTATTTTTGATTCCTGAAGAGCAAGGAACAAAAATCCTCCATTTTAAAATAGGAGGCGTAATATGCCTTTTGGCTTCCAGAAGAATGATATTAAGAGTGTGGTCAGCTGTTTGGCATTGGAAGTAAGATTTTCTGAACATCCACTTTCTCTTTTTGAAACCACAGCTCAATGATGACTGTAAAGATTAGGATGTGGGGCTCCCCCTCCCCATTTTTTGCATTTGGTTATTTTGTCCTGGCTTATGGAAAGAAGTGTGGACAGAAACTAGTGCTCCTGTGGCAAGGAGTCTTGCCCATGGGCAAGGGTTTAAAGGCAAAGATGGAACTCCTCAGTAGAGTGCTTGTTGCTTAATTGGTATGCTTGTGGTGCAGAAACCAAAAAACGTTACCTTTTTTTTTTTTCTTCCCATTTTGGGCTGGCAACTCTGTCTCTCCTCTCTGATAGTTTAGGGTGTCCCGCACCCCCTTCTTCTACTCTCCAGAAAGTAACTCTTATTTTTAATTCCAGGAAAATTGGAGTTATGTTGCAGGTTCCAAGTTCAACTGTGGTTTTAAATAGTACTGACAATTGGAAAAGTTTCCTTAATTGTAGAGAACTGAGTAGCTTCTACTTTCTATTTGCAGTAGCAGTGTATTGGCACAAATTTCCTCAATCTTTCAAAGCCAGCCTCACACATTTATTTATCTTGTCACCTCTTTCTTCTTGTATATTTTGTGGAGAGGGAGGAGCAGGAAGTGATTGTATTGCAAATCATCTTCCAGTTTTTTCTGGGTAGCTCTTCAGAAAAAAATTATTCCGACTTTGCGCATAAGTAAAAATAAATCTCTTTTTAGCGAGAACATCTTTTTAGCTTAGCTATCAAATTGAATGAGAGTGTCTTCTGAATCAGAGAAATATTACAGGTAATCTGAACTCAGTCTTCTAGACCTGCGAGTTGACTTGGTGGACAGTATCGTGGCCTCTAAGGAGGATGCATTCATTATGGGTAATGCCTTTTGAAGATGGAAGGATGTTCACTGTTGTGCTTGATTCAGCTCAGGAGAGGAGTATTGTGGTGCTTGATACTTGGGGTTAAGCCTTAAATGTGGAAATGTGTTTCCTTGTTCTTCTTTTGAGGGAGAAGTGCTGGTGTTTGAGTGGGATGAATTATCTAGTTTCTAGAGGTCTTTATGACAGCACATGTGTTCCATTTGTTTAAGTAGCTTTATACTTGTAATTGTTTTTTAAATAGTTTTGATAGGGTGCTTATATTCCTGTGCAAGGACAAAATACTTCTGCTTCTAAAATATGTTCTGGTCCCAAACAGTTCCTCATAAGGCATATTGCTTTTTTATCATCTAAAAAGGCTGGTGATATGGCTTTGAAAGGTTAGCTGTCTAAATTTTCTTCTTTTTTTCTTCAAAATTTGGATGATTTCTTACATTTGTTTGTCAAACTGCAGTAAAAATAGCTATTTTTAAGTTCTTACTAAGTATTTTGGATAGAGTGGCATTATTGTAAGATGATGAAAAATGCTTTTGGTTTTGAGATTGGAAGAGAAGTTTGCTGATCAAATAGAGAATCACCATGTCTTTTTTTTTTTTCTTTCTTCTAAAACATTTGTGGGGGTTTTCTTCCTCATTTTCTGAGGCCGAGGACAGTGTTCTCTAAACTTGCTAATGGGATCAAATCAACTTAATATGGAGCATGACATTTGATGATAAAGTTGATTGCTTACACCCGGCTTTGATTGGAGCAAGCTTAGTGGTCATTTGGAATACACTGAGCGCAAATGTAGCTTATACCATTTCATCTTGGCTGCTTCTCAAGTTCAATTTGGTACAATGCAGCCCTTGTGCTATTGTAAAATCTTTGAACTGAACATCTCCTCTTGTATTTATCTACTATGTAAGCATTTGATTTTTTTTAGGATTTTAGCCAAACAATTTTTAAAAAATCAAGAAAATTGGCATATTTAACACTGTTCATTTGTTACTGTGTTACGCTTGCATAACAACTTTAATTTTCACCATTTCCTCCACTAAATTACAGTGGTCCTCAATTTATCCCGGTGGTTCTGCTGTTGGCCCCCAAAGAGAGTTTAAATCTCCTACCAAAGCCTTTTGTGTGCATCTGAAATGCCATATTCAGTCAGTAACCCAAAACTGAATGTCTTTTTTTTTTATTTCAGAGTTGTGGATGGTCTTACTTTTCCTCCTCTTCTCCTCCTGCCCCAAATGAAAAACAGGAGAGCTGAGGACTAAAGATAATAGATTTAATTTGCTGCATCCTTGCTTAACTACCACCAAAATTTCTGGGCACGGTAGCAAGCGTTGAAAGTGCTTTATTCCACTACTAATTCTTCTGTTATCTCTTGGTGATGCTCTTATAAGATGCTCTTACAAAATATGCTAGTGCTTCTATTCTTTATGATACAGTAATTCAGGAAGTGGGTAATGTAAAAGAGAAACTTACATACAGAAGAAGAAATTTCTGAGGTATTACATCATGTCATGAAATTAAAAGGGTAAGAAGCATATGCAGAAGTCTATGCGCCTTTATAAGGAGAAACTTTATTCTGAAATGCTGCAAGCTCCTCAGGCGGTAGAAGTCTAGTCCACAGAACATGAAAGGTGTGTATGAATAAATACAGGAGTGTAGACCCAAGTAACGACTAAAATACAGGTCTTCCACTTTGCAAGAGTAATCACTAATGTGCACCTAGTAGCATTAGATCTTTTTGTGATAATTATTGATCACTTTTTAACTACAAGGCAAATAGTCAAGAAGATTTCCTCAAAGTAATGTTAGTCATGAAAATTAAGATTTAAATTCATAGTCCCAACTGCAAAATTGAAAAACCGGGCTCCAGATTGTCCCCTTAAATACTCTTTTACCATAATTCATTGTCAGCTGAAATTTGTACATTATGAGGCTAAGTACTGTGTTCTGCACAACTCCGATTACTATGCTTTTTTTCTTCTGCAGCTCCAGATAAAAGCATTTGTTTCTACTCAAATCCTTAAAAAATATAGTCAGTTGTTACCATTCTGAAGGTTTAACTGTGGCTGGCTTGTATGCTGTGAATTGTTGGTTCAGGAACTGTAGAAGTGTTCCCCTTGACTGCCCTGCTGATGGCTTGATTCGGTTGTTATGGCTGAGTCTGCGCTGCTCAGTTGGAATACATTTGTGCTATTGACTTTGGGGAAGTTTGTAGATTCACATTTGTGTTGAGAAACTCTTGAATCAATGCTGCACTGCTCAGAATGCCAGTTTTAAGTTGATGATTCCCTACGCCTATACTATTTTTTTCCTTGAAAGTGTGCACAAATACCAGTTAAAAAAAGCACAGCACAAAATAGCTTTTCTTCTCCCTCCCCCTCTTACAAACGTCTAGTTTACAGTAACTGAACCAGATGCTGGCTAAGTCCACAGTTACCATTCGAAATATAATAGCTATTAATCTTTTGAACTTCTTGTTCTCCTATTTCCCCCATTGTCATTGAGTATTTGTCCAAAAAATACTTCATTGCAGCTGGAAGGCTTCTGTGTGATCTTCATGTTAGCTATGTAGTGGATTATGGATACACAAAATAAAAGGCTGTCAGCAAAGTGAAAAGTAGGGAGGAGGTGGAGGGAATATTGAAATCACTTTGTTTTCATATTGGTTTAGCTGTTCTTTCTCAGTATCTTCATCAGCTCAGAGGATGCTCTGAGGCTTGACCTGTAATAATTTTATACTTAGTAGATAGACACGCTGCTTTAAAAAATGCATAGTTTAGTATGCATATACCTATGCAGCATATATAACACTGTCAGTACTCCTAGGAATGTAATTTGAGGAGAAAAATATTTTTACATACATTGTTTTTTCCCATAATGCTGAGAGTACCTGTCTGGGTTGAAATTAAATGACTAGCATCTGCTATTGACTGCTGTGAATAGTGCTTGGGAAAGTGATCAGTGTAAATACTGGCATTAGCGCAAGAGTAGACTGACCTGCCTCATAGAGCAAGGAGTTAATTTGGTTATCAGCTTAGGTTCCTATTACACAAGGAGGGTATTTTTGTAAGTTGAGAGCAGTATTTTGCTACCTTGCATCTGACAAAGAACTTTCCATTTGCTCTGATGCTTTGTTAGAATTTCGTTAAAAGATAAATTATTTGGGCATATTTTTGACTGTTTGGTGGGCTTAAAAACAGTGTTGTGACGAGCAGGTTAATAGTTTTCAAGCTTGAACTTTGGCTTTTTGTTGAGATGCATAAACGATTGGATGAGTGTTTTATTATTTGAATTGTGGTGTGCCTTTTGTATAACTGGTAAAAGAGTCTAACCAGCTTTCCTTCATGCATCTAGGTAAAAGTGTGCTGAATTGATGGGAAATGGCCATTGCTGTATTAGGAAAAATACTGCAGAACAATGCGCAGTTATTTTTTGACAATTTGTCTATTAGCAAATAGGACCAGAAGCATGTTACACGGTCATCTACAAGTAAAAATAACCAGCAGCATTTGGAGTAAATGTAGATGCTGTTTTTGTAGCACCAGTAACGCTTTTTTTTTTCTTTAGGTTCTTGATTGTTACAGACCATTTGCTGAAATGTCCAGAGTTGGTAAAAGCCCTCTATGCCAAACTGAGCAATCAAGAAAGGTAACCCCAAAAACCAGTGTGGCTTTTAGTATTTAGCATTCCATATAGAGTATCCTGTTCACATGATTGAAAAACTGTGTGGTTTCATAGTTGGCACAAAATCTCTAAATACATGTTTCTATGTCAGTAATGGTTTTAAATTGGTTGGTTAACATTACAGCTTAGCCACAACTGGCAGTGATTTATGTAGGGTTGCAGAATCCAGGTTGGCGCCATTACGCAGTAAAGAAATTTGACAAAATAATTAGGTTTTTTTGGAAGGAAAAAAAAAAAAAAAAAAAAAAAAAAAAAGAGAGACAATATTTCATGCCTGTGTCTTGATTTCATAAGAGCACCACACCCTGCAGTGTTTTATAGCTGTATTTGAAATGTCCTCCGCTGTTCATACTCCTGTTATAATTACAAGAAATTAAAAGGAAGCCTTTACTAAAGTTGGAAGTGTATCTAATACTGGTTAGCAGAACCTAATAAACATAGATGCACAGATGCCCGTGATTACTTAATCATTTATTTAAAATATAAAATGCTTCAACAAACCTTCACCTTGAAAGAAACTAGCTAGTTTTCCTTCAAGCGTTTGAGTAAATGTATGCTGAATTGATGGGAAATGGCCATTGCTATAATTGGGAAAATGCTCATCTACAATTGCTTTAATAAAGAATCGGGGGAGATAAAAAATTTATTTTGTTATAATAATCAACTTTGGGAAATCCTGTAGTATAATTCTACAGCTCCTCCAACTGCTTGAAGATCTAGTGATCTGGTTTATGTATTCAACATGGCTACTTTGTTCTCCATTCGCCTAGGGAAACTGCAAGTTCCCCCTATAGTTTTTGAAGGTGAAAGATAAAGCAGTCCCTTAATGTTTTTTTTCCTGTGTTTTTTGCTGTGACTAAAGCCACAGTGTTATTACAAATGGGGTGCAGACCCTGATCGGAGATTATAAAGAAACAAAAGGGATGACAGGAAAAGGAAGAGTATATGATAGGTTGAGAACCATAGATAAAATTTCATTAATGTATAGGTATGGGATGGAAAACAAGGGATGGGAATGATAAGGAGGGAAATACTGTCATCTTCGTTTATTCAGGCTGACCAAATGGGAATGAATATGAGCTGTGTGCTTACTGTGCCTGGAGGTAGGGGCTCCTTAACCAGTTAGCATGAAGGACTGTTTTAAGTGAATGAGCTAGATTTAATTCTTTTGGGGGATGTCCTGAATGGCAGTTTTCGTAATCCCCTTGAGGACAGCCAGGACTGGGTCAGGTTGTTCTGTTGTACTTAAAGCAATAGATGTAACTAGTTTCTAGAAAGGTCTCAGCTGTATTTGTTGCATGCACCGTGCTGCAGACGGTGATCGGCTACCTTGACTGAAAGGCTTTTGGTGTAGCATCATATGGATGATCACATGCAGGATGGCTAGTCACAGTATATTTGCTGAATTTATTATAATCCCAAGAGTTCTGCAAATCAAACAAACTCAGTTAAGGTTTTCAAAAACATAATCATAGTACAGTTTATTACGAGTTTGATACTGCTTAATTTAGTGTCAAACATATGGAAGTAAGTGGTGTAGAAATAGTCCTTTTGCATCTGAGCTATAGAAGAAAACCCTGCTGTGGCATCTTCCTATATAATGTTAGCATCTTTAAGAATGCATTCTTTTGAGATATATGAGGAAACAAATCCAATTCAGATAAAAACATTTTGACTCATTAACTGGAGAAAAACGTAACCGTATAAACCAAAGCATAGGGAATTCATTGTTTCAAAATGAGACAAGGAGCCTTTACCGCAGGAGTTGCCGCATTGGGTGTCCAATAAGGCTGACTAAGTCATATAAGTAAAGAAAGGACAGTTGTGGTATTGAGGTGTCTGGGGAAAGCAGCTTGAGCTCATGAATATATGGTAACTCTCAGTTACAGTATTCTCTATCATGCACATTAAATACGCTTACTTTAAATGTATTTACTGAAACGAAATTAACTATGCTGAGAAAGTTTGCGAATACGTACGTTAGTGGTGACTCTTAAAGTTGGCAGTTGCCTTAGATAACCAAAGTATATGTAGTTGCGTAACGGCAGTTATTTGCACTATTCACAGTATTCGCACTATTCAAAGTATTTCCTTGTAATTGAAATCTAGTGCATTTGTGATACTGTGGCCATGGTGCATGCTGTGAAGTAGTTCTTGTTGTAGAAGTGGATCTGGAATCTGAATTTTCAATTAAAAGACAAATTCCTTCTGGACTACTTTCTCTTTCGTTTCCAAACAAATTTAAGCACTTTGGTGTTGCGTGTCTGAGTTTGCAAATGGCCTGAAATAAATACTGTGATAATACAATCAGCTTCTTTAATAGTATTCTGGCTTTGAAAAGTGTATGATGATGTGGTAATGCCTGCTGTTTCTCTGCAAGTGATTATTGCAGAAACATATGGCTATGGTATTGAGCCAAAAGATTGTAGATTCTTGAATTCTTTGCCATCTACACGTGTGTGCAAGTATTTGTCGGAAGTATTTAGAAAAAGCCTGCTTTGCTTTAATCCAGGTTAGCCTTGAGCATGGACAATGTAATTTGATGCCTTGATAGTCTTAATTATACTGTAAAATCTTCAAAATGAGTACATCTGTGTTGTCCCTTTTAAGAAGGGGTCTTGCTTTGATTAATAACAACAAAAATGCAAATGAATAGTTTCAGGTGTTTTTAAGATGCTCAGCTATACTTGCATCTTTAGTTTTGCTTTTTGTGTTATTTCATGTGAAGTGTTCTCAGTGAATGATGTAGCCACTGATCAAATTACCATCAGGGAAATGGGCACTCAGGTGGTGTGAACGGCACCGCTTCTTGCTTACGTTCAGCTATGGGGCTGCTAATGTCAATATTGTGGTGGGTTTTTGTTCTTGGTAATGCTCACAGACACAGAATAGCTGAAGGTAGCATTGGATTATAGTCCTTCACAAATTTACCAATTTTCATTTAATTGGATGCTTACAAGTATTGTTTGAAGATGAAAGAATTGGAAAATATCGAGGAAGGACCTAATTTGTCTCATAGAACTGCTGTCAGTGAAGCATTTCAGGAAAGAGAAGTGCCAGTCGCAGTGAAAGAATGTCCCAAGTGTCTGGCACTTGCTAAGAAGTTATAAACCAAGCACGCTTGATACAAAAATTGTTTGGTGATAGTAAAATTCATAGAATTTTCCGATACTATTTTTAGACAGGCTTAGCAGGACTTCACTTTAATTTGCAATAATGAGCTTCCAGATTTAAATTGCACTTTTATGCTGTGGTTTATTTGCAGACTGTAGGAGACAGCAATGTGTTTACTGATGATTGCAAATACTTTATAGTAGTTGTTCTAAGTTCTTGCCAATTTGGTCAGCTTCGGGAAGAACTGGTTTAAATTTGGCTAGGGGGAAAAAAAGCAAAAGATTGACAAAAAGTCTTCCTAAGTGGTGCCTAAAGAAAAGGAAGATGACACGGCATCATCGTTTCCAAATAGAAATATAATCATAAATATAATACACAAAATTATATTTTTGATACTGAATTGAGTGTTACAAAAATTCATTATGAGACATGCTAAAACTGGTACTAACAGTTGTCGTATCTGTTGTACTTAGCTATAGGCAAACAAGTAGGAACAAACTCTGTCGTCTGAATGGCTAAACAGTTGTGAGACCATTTAAAAGAAATGAGCAAATTGTTTTGTGTGGGAGAACTAACTTGGAAAAATGCGGGTGAGTCTTGGAAGAAAACTGAGAGAAACAATAGAAGAAAGGAATGTAAGGGAACTTGCACCAGAACAAAAAGCATTGCTTTCAGGAAATTGTTGTCTGAATGGCAAGACTTGCTTGAAATTCAGGGGAAAGATGGGTATGTCCTGAATTACTGTGCCTGGAAGAAAACTCAGGAAAACAGTTTTGACATGAATGCCTAAAGAGAACAGAAAACTTTAAAACAAATTACATACAGGTGGTGTTTTGATGTCACTCCTATTTCTCCGAAAGGATTATGGTTGTCAAAAAGGACACTCAATTATATTGCAAGAGGAAGAGTAATGCAAAAAATGCCCCTATTGGCAATAATTTCATCTCACTAATACAGTTTATGCAAGTATGTGGTGACCCTCCAACTTCTTTACAGGAGGATTCCTTGTCGTTGTTAAACATGTATTATTTGGAGTATTGGTGCAACAATAGCTGGCTGGAATTCTGTTACGCAGGAGATAGTATTTTATTGGAATAATTCCCGTAACCGTAAAGTCTGTGAGCAGCCTGTTTTCTTAGCTGAGCATATGCTTGAAAGGCTCTAAACTTGGTAAAAGCTGGCATGTAAAATCTAGCCCTGTCTTAGGGATGAATGACACGTCTGTGCACTTAACCTGATTTTTGTATAGTATGCCAAATCTGAAAGCCTTCGTTCAGTTAGGGATGTTGGGTAACTGGACTCTGCTAGTTTGTAGATGGGCAAGCGTGTGGTACCCAGCTGTAACCTGCAGAACAAACAGAACGACTGTTCTGTATTGGAGCTCTGTCACAAACGTAAGCGAAGCCTGTGAGAGAGGTTACCAGTGTTTGACAGCCTTCTGTCTGGAGTCCACCCTTTCCCAAATGTGTTGAGCGCATTTCTGTGCTACCGTGTTGAAAAAGCTTTTTGTCCTCATTCAGATAATTGTTTAATGCAGCTGTATTAATGACATTGAGGGTTGAGTTTAGCAAGAACTGAGTAGCTGTTACGTGATTAATAGGGGTGGGTTCTTGGAGGTTAATAAAGCAGTGACCGTGCTTTTTCCACAGAAAAAGACATTTCTCTTCCCCTTGTGACAACCTGCTTGGTAAATTTAAAAAAAAGAAAAAGCATTTGAACTATTCCACATGTTTAAATGTCAGTCCTTCCATCTGAATTGCAAATATTTTAGTGAAAGAAAACCCTGAGCCTGCTCTTGAATTCATTCAATAAATAGCGCTCTTTCAGGTTGAGAGAATTACAGTGGGACTTCACTAACCCATGTGCTCGTCTGCGCTGGAGTTGAACAGGGAAGCTGTAGGAGGGCCTCTGCCATGTTAATGTCCCGCTTCCACAAAATACTCCCAGTTTGCCCCTAACAACATGAAGGGATATCAGAAATAAAACGACATTAAAGCTCTTAAAATGAATGACCCAAGTACATTTTATAGAGCAGCTTCGTTATGTATTCACTTACTTGCTGGTTTAATACTCTGAATAACTCTTACTGGGTATATGAGTAATTAACTTGCATTTACTGTAGTCTACCTAGTGGCAATTATAAAACAGCTGTAAAGGACCGAGTGCATATCACTTTTTATTTCCCCTGTTTCTGCTCAGAATTGGTTTGGGGGTTGGAGAGGAGAATTGGTGAAGGACTGCGTGCAAGGCAAGGGCTGTGAAAAGCTGGTATTTTCAAACGGAAGCTGTCAAATAGTCTGTGTTTATTTTGCTGAACTTAACAACAGCTTTTAAGAGCTGTTTTGGTGGAAATTTTAGACATACGGAATAGGCAGTCACAGTAGTGTTATGTTAGGACACAAGAAATTAGAAATTGAAATAGACTTGAGAAAAATATTGACTTGACTGTCTGGCCAGATTGTATTAATTGAATGATGAATTAAATTAATGGTGTGCAGAAATAAACCAGTGAACAGGAACTGATTGCCAGGGTTCATAAGACTTCTTAATTTTTAAAAATCAGCTCTGTTACTAGCATGCTAATTGTTTGTACTGTTTTTAACAACTGTATCTGCTTATTCTACTGGTAATTCTATATGGCTTAGTGAATTTGATTAACAAGTTGTTTTCTGATTCTAGAGTTACTTTGTTAGAGCTGATAATGGCGAAAGTAAGTGAGAAGAACCCAGCTACCAGTGAAGAAATGAATGTGTTCATGAGGCATGCTGACTTCCTTGCAGGCTGTTTCCAAGAGAAATGTGAAGCTGTGCTCAAGTTAACTTCTGCAGCAGATGCAGAAGATGAGGTATGACTGATAAAAAAACATTATAGTACTGGAGTCTGAAGTGGTGAATCTTCATTGCCACTATTACCCAAGTGGCACTTGGGGACATTCCATTTATTTTATATTGGGAAAGCAGTGACAGAGTGCACAGGAGAATCTGTAAGACAGCAGCCCAATTTTGCTTTTAATTTGAGGATGACAAAGAATACAGTACTTTGAGATAGAAATAAATCTTGTTAAAGATCTCAAAATTTTAAAAATGTTCAAGTTGTCACATGTTTGGATGTTTTATTATGTTCTTACTAAGGATCGCTTCTATAATTTACTTGGGTTGTGAATTATATTTTATTCAAATATGAATCAAAACTTAAAATATTTATTTTATTTATAGGTGGGAAGCAGCATATCTTCCCCCCCCTTAAAATTGGGGTAAAAATGGAGTAAATGCTTTTTTTTCTAGCAGTACTAAAGTAAGTAAATCTTGGGTGTTTTTTTCAAACCTAAATTACTGATGATAACTTGATAATTAATACATCATTAAGGTCCCAAATACTAGTTCTTTGAAAATGCATTTGGCTACTTCTAAGACAGGTGTTATTGATCTGTTTGGGACCTGGAACATCACGTTCTGACCATGGAGAGTTGTGGTATGCATGTGATTGGCTCAGTGCAGGGGAGGTGTCTGAAACATCTAGTGATCCCCCCGGCAAGCAAGGGGTTTCGTTACTGACTCTTCCACATTTCCCGATGATTTGGGACTCTATGGTGGATCTCTGACAAGGCGGCACTCCTGGGCCCCACTAGCGTCCACACCATCAAGTTGCAGAGCTTGCTGGGCTCTTAGTGGCAGACAGCTCCTGTCTCCTGAGCACCCAGACACTTGCCCCAACTCCAGTCCACTTGGAAGAAATCTGTTATTGCTTCAGACTTAATGAACTGGTTCCATTGAGGATGGCCACAATGAAGTCCCTTTGCAAGCTCAGTAAGAAGGCTTTTATGGGTCATAGATAGTTTGTGGGTTGCACTTTGGGAACTTCTGATGCAGAGCTGAGTCCTGCATGGCCTTATTTTATTTCCTTCTTACGAAGTATCCAAGAGTTGCTGGCTACTTGCCACACCATATAGTGCAGTAAGGAGGTTTAGGCCATCTAAGGGTAGAGGTCTTTTCAAATCATCTAGTGTTCTATTTTTCCTCTTACTTTCAACAAGCTGCTTGAAGATCTAATAATGCCTTTGGGAATACAGAAAGCAACTTGCACCATAACTTGCAGTGGCCTTATTTGTGCAGTGTTAGGTCATCATGTTGTGAGCAGGCAGTGCCAGGTTATATTGGTCTCAGTTCTCAATCCCTCTCATATAGATAAAGTTCTAATGTTTTCAGCTGATTTTGGGGTGATTTGTGGGGGGTTTTTTGGGTTTTGTTTTTTTTTTTTTTTAGACAACTAGCCAGAAAACTAAAAGCCCAAGAAATCTAATATTTTTTATTCAAGCATAGAATTAGTTAATCACTGATTCTCACTGATTAATCATGCTTAGTTTCAGAAGTGTGAGTAACATATTTTCTTAATATCTTAAAAGGATATTTAAAAAAAAGTCACATCTAGCCTCTCTCTTGCCAAGTGACCACAGTGGTATGTTGAAATTGTTACCCAATATATTTGTAGTCGGAAGCATTTTATTGTTAAAACAAAAGTAACCTGTAATAGTTTCATTTGTAGAAACTCTTGAGAACGGCTGTCATAACTAATTTACTATCAAAGTGAAAAAATACAGATCTTTAAATGCTTTTATATGATGTTACATAGTGTTGTACTTGCTGATTTTTTTGTTTGTTTGTTTAAATGGGCACAAGAATTTTACATGTGTGTTGAGAGATGTTATGAAAGATATTAAAAATGACTTTATGAGGAGGTGATAGTTGGATGCATAAAAAAAAACCCACCAACAACCATACAGCAATTTCTTCTTATCTGTCCAAGAAGCACAGCTTTGTCCCCGCCCCCGCAACTGCTTAGTCTAAGTTATCTTAGAAAACTTAATTGACTACTTCTGGAAAAGGTATCAGTTTGGCAGTAGGAGGACATACACTGAGATAATTCCATCTTCCCCACTCCCCCCTTCTCTCTCTGTTGCTCTCTCTTCCCCCCCCCGTCCCCCTTTCATTTTTTTCCCTTCTTCTCCCCCCTTTTTTTTTTTTAATCCTGTGTGGTTACTTTCCAAGTATTCTGTGGTTTCAGTTCTTGGAAAAAACCATTTGTTTGCGCCTAGCAGAAGGAGGTCTCTGTCCAACTTGAAGGTGCTGGGACAGCAATATTGAGAATATTACTGTATAACTTGCCCTGCTTACACTGACTTTTTATCCTTCTCTCACATAAACATGATGTATGATAAGTTGAGTATCACTGTTTGGTGGGAAATGTGGATCACTTAATGAGCACAAAATATAAGTCATAATAGCTGAATAAATGGAGAGCAATGACAAGAATAGTTTTTTAAAAGTGTGTGTATATGCTTATTGTGTGTATACATTAATTTGTAACATATGCTTGCCATGGGAAGAGAGAAATTCCAGCTTAAATTCATAAAACTCTTTCTTTTCTTACTAGAAATGATCAAAAATTGCACCGATTTCTCCTCAATTATATAAATATTTTAGTATTTGCATAAGAGTTGTACTTAACTGAAAAAAATGCAATTGTGCATGTAGAGTCTATCATTAAAAATGCTTTAGGCAACATCTGTGATATTAAACGAAACTCTGCCTGGACTTTCTGTGGCCCTGAAGCCAAGTGCCTTGGTCAGGCTATGTCTGTACTAGTAAGCTGTCTTAGCCTCCAAAACTGGGAGGCCACATTTGAAGACTGTCTTTTGGGAACAGTCCTTGAACTGGCCTGACTCCCAAAATGTTGTCTGGGTGTCCCATCCACTGTTTAATTTATTATATGTAGACACTGCCTTTTTTCCCTAAGGAACGTCAGGTCTTATAACTTCCATCTCAAACCAATGAAAAGCTAATCATATGCTTCTGCAGTGCTTAAACCAATGTTTAAAATAGCTTTTCCATTATAAGCCTGACTTCAACATCAGTTTGCTTTCACTAACTTTCAACCATACTTGCAAAATAAAACCCTCCCCTGGATTTTAAGTTCTTATTTCATATCTTTATAAGGAACATCTTCTCAGAGTCTCTCTCGAAATACGTTTATTTAAAAACTCTTCAATTATTTCCTTATTTACTTTTAAGATTGTATCCACATCAAGATGGCTGTCAGATTTCAAAATATTTTGGGGTTTGAACAGTATCTTGTTGCTGAACTTAAAAAGGAAGTATTCTGCTTTATTGCCTTTCTTTTGTACAGGTGGAGGGCAAAAAAAAAAAAATTTGGAAAGCTGGGGCAGGGTGGAGGGAAACCCAACCAGAGATGTTTAAACAGTTTTTTGGAAGTATCACGTTTCATATATAGATAAGAATTTGAGGGTTCTTATGTGCTTTTAAAATATTTTGTTCCTCTTCTCAAATTTAGATGGAACAGTTGCTGAACTGAGCCAGATGCCGGGATAAGAGAAAGGGAAAGATGGTAGTATAAAACCCTGGGAATAAATATGTAGAGGACAGTGAAGAAAGGCATTTTAAAAAAAAAAAGGGGGGGAGTGAAAAAAGATAAGGCTGAGAAAGGAAAAGCCACACCTCATAGTATCCCCTGCTACAGAGCTTGCATTATGTATGTGGGTAATGGGGTACACATAGGCAGCAAGGGCCACTGTACCTTACTGGTGTGATTTATAGTTGCCTGTTAATACTCATTTGCTTTACAGTTGTAAAGAGCGTAACCTTTTCTTGTGCAAAGGTGTTAAGTGTATGAGCTGAAGAGGCTTTTGGTTAAGCTACTGTCTTGTAACAATGCAAAATGGCTTCAAAATTGTAAATACCTGCTTACTGTCTGTGAAATACAGTTGGGGTATTCTTACTTTATAATAGGACAATGACCAGTGTATTCAGAGGCTGGTTTTGTGCTGTTGAAAGCAATTTACTGAGTAACTTAGGGCAAGACCTGCACCTTCCTACACCTGCGTGAGGGAAAAAATGAAAATACAGCTTTAGGAACTGGACCCTATACTGATCTGTTGTTTTCCAGGAGCATAGGAAGGAGCAAAGAATGGATATAATTGTAATACTTAATTACTGAACACTATTGTTGATTATTTCAATTATGTTATATTGATAATATGGATTCAAAAATACTATACTGTTGGTAAGTAAATGTCTCTTTGTCCTGGACCAGACAAGGCAGGAATTTTGTGACCTGTGTCTGAGCCTTTTCAAGGCTACTTGCAGTTTATGTACCACACCTTGTGTGGAATCATCTTGCAGTCACAGTCTGGTTCTTGAGCAATATGTGGTGTTTCAAATTATGCCGTACGCTCTTAAGGTAGTTTCTGTAAGTGCTGGATTGTCATTATAAGCACGCATCAACATAGTCTGTGAGGAAAAAATAGTTCTCTGGCTGAATAAATAATATGCAAATAAAATTGTGTGTCTCATACCTAACCAAAACGCTGCATCTATGATCCCAATCCTATTTACCCAAGAATAATGTGAATTCTCGCAGCCAAAGTTCATTTGACCACAGAACTTTACAGAATTCCTGCGGATAACAAATTGGTGTCTTGCAGGCGGTGTTTGTGTCTTTAAAGTGGGATGTTCCTACTGAATAAACTCAAAGAAAACATTTATACAGAAATAATTTTCTCAGCTAGTAATTTTCTGCATTTCTGCTTTTGGAAGCTACTGTGTTTTTGTTAAAATTTTATCCCTTATGGCTCTGTTTTGGTTTCCCCATGATTTTTCAGGGCACATATAACACTGTTTGACAGTAGAAAAGAAATTATTGTACTGTAATACATGATTGTTAGATGTTCTTATTTATAGAAATTTATTCTTGGCAGTTTAGAAAACCTGCAAAGAACCTGAGACGCTGAGAGTTCCTGTCCTCTGTTTAGATTGTCGGTGTTATATTCTTACGGTATCATTCATAAGCCATTTTCAGAAATGTAATTTTCATTTACAGGAAGCACTGGTTACAATTCGTCTTCTTGATGTTCTTTGTGAAATGACATCGAACAACGGACAGCTAGAACATCTACAGGCTTTGCCTGGTTTGCTTGAAACAGCCATAGGTGAGTGAAAAGCCACAAGGTTTATTAACTGTTGGCTTGCTCCAAATCAGGTTGCTCTGTGAATGAAAACATGTTTTTCACAACTGGTGGTAATTATGATTCTGACCTTTTAATAAAATAAATAAATAGGAGATGGAGTTAATCTACATTTTCAAATATTTGATTTGTTCCTGGAATTTTTCTGGTTCTCTACTTGCTCTGTTGGCTCCTATTACCCAACAGAGCCTTGATTCAACTGTCAGCAATGCGCTATTTATACCATAAGAGTTGTGCAAAGGACAGCTGCTTCCTATGTTCTTCCACTGGCTGAATGTGTGTGGAAGAATTTCCTCAAGAAGTAGAAAAAGGACTTTTCCATGCCTGTTCCCTTCTGTTTCCCAAATTCCTGAAAACTGAAACTAAGTACAGTTTGAATGTTCTTAACCAAATTCAGTGACTTTTAAAGGTCAGTTTGAAAGAAGCCTTCTTCTGCTAAGAAACAACAAGCAAAGGGCTGTACGCAAAGAAAATTAAGCCAGGATCGTCCAGAGACACTCTATATACTCGGGGAGGGAGGAGGAAGAAATATACATATACTGACCTGTGCCTTCCTAAATCTTAGCACTTTGTGAGACTGATGTATACCACTGTTTTCTGAGGAAATTGTACAAGTTTATGGATTTTAAAGAGAAATATGTAGTATTTTGGCTAAAAAAGAAAAAGGCTGAAACAGCTGTTAACGATGACTTTTGAGATATTTGGAGAGTCCGGGGAGGGGGGAGACCACAAAACCCACCACAGCAAAAAAACAACCATACCTCTATTTTTGATGACAGGTACATAGTTTTATTGCTTACAGCAAGATGACTAACAAGAAGATCTATTTTGTGCATGTGTATGTGTTTTGAGGAAACTCAAAGTTATGCATTGTATCATCTGAATGCTTGTATAAGTCTTTCAACTTAAATGAAAATTTCAAGGAGCTGCAGATCAGCTAAGTTTAGAAGCCTGTAGGCCAGTCCTCCTTTCCCTCGCTGTGCTCAGACTGACTTTTCTCTGCAGCCGTCTCCAGGCTAATGAAATGGGTGCAGGCTAGAACATTGCTACCATGTGCATCCTACGTATTTCCCACATGCCCTCAGTCAACAGGAATTTATCAACACTTACAGTTTCTCTTTAAGACTATCTTTTGGCTACAAGACTCCTTCAATCCTGGATTAGCAAAAAGGGCAAAAAACTGTATTGATGTGTTATATCACCTTCAGTATTTAGTTCTGAAGACCAGAAGAATAAGGATAGATAGCACAAAAGATTTTCATCTGATAGATCTTGCGATGAAGCAGTTCTTCTATTCAGTTTATATCATGAGAAATTTCCTATTGGAAATTACTAAAAGATTTATTGAAAGATCTGAAGAATATCTGAATGATCTTTTAAGTATCAACTAAGGAGTGTGTTTTGCTATTTTCAGTAATTGTTGGATTAAGTTAGACAGTAATACTGCAGTGTTAATATCTTTAGCACTGTTAACAGCTTCATTGCACAGTGTTTGACAAATATCACCAGGGACGTAAATGGTCTTTTGAATTGAGGGGCATTTTGGAAGAGTTGCTCTTTGGGATAATGAGAGAACGGCAGACTGAGGCGTCCTTTAGTTGAGAGCATAGGTGACATCTCAGGAGCAGTTGCTGTGTTGTGTTGATGTGCAGTGTTTGAGAGGAGCAGTGTTCTTTCTGGGTTGGCATCATGCATGGAAGGTGGCGGCTTTTCTTCCACCTTTTTCCTGTACCTCTCTTTCCAGGTAGGTGTATTGCTCGTTGCATTTTTGTCTGCACTGTAATAAAATTCGAAGAGTCTTATTTACTTTTTTTGTGGGTCTTTTGTTTTATTTTTTGTTTTTAATACTTTTGTTCCGGGGTCCCTCTTAAGGGCAGACAGAAGACCATAGAATTTGGGAAGACCATAGAATTCCCTCTTACATGTTTGTGTGTGGGGAAAATACTAAGACTATAAGGCAAGGAAGCACAAAAAGTGAATGCCATGAGAAGGATGTGAGACACTGCCCATTTTTATGAATTTACAAAAGCAAACAAATTTCTGTGAAAGAAGATTGTGTTAAAAGCTGTTCTATGATGACATTTTTTAGAGGCAATCAGGAGATTGTAGTATGAGAAAAGATTTCGAGTGCCCAGAGGAAAAGGACCTGGGGGGGCTGGTTGACAGCCGGCTGAACACGAGCCGGCAGTGTGCCCAAGTGGCCAAGAAGGCCAATGGCATCCTGGCCTGTATCAGAAATAGTGTGGCCAGCAGGAGTAGGGAGGAGATCGTGCCCCTGTACTCGGCCCTGGTGAGGCCGCACCTCGAATACTGTGTTCAGTTTTGGGCCCCTCACTACAAGAAGGACACTGAGGTGCTGGAGCGTGTCCAGAGAAGGGCAGCAAAGCTGGTGAAGGGTCTGGAGAACAAGTCTGATGAGGAGCGGCTGAGGGAACTGGGGCTGTTTAGTCTGGAGAAGAGGAGGCTGAGGGGAGGCCTCATCGTGCTCTACAACTACCTGAAAGGAGGTTGTAGCGAGGTGGGGGTTGGTCTCTTCTCCCAAGTAACTAGCGATAGGACGAGAGGAAATGGCCTCAAGTTGCACCAAGGGAGGTTTAGACTGGACATTAGGAAAAATTTCTTTACTGCAAGAGTGGTCAGGCCTTGGAACAGGCTGCCCAGGGAAGTGGTAGAGTCACCATCCCTGGAGGGATTTAAAAGACGTGTAGATGAGGCGCTTAGGGCCATGGTTTAGTGGGCATGGTGGTGTTGGGTTAATGGTTGGACTCGATGATCTTAGAGGTCTTTTCCAACCTTAATGATCCTATGATTCTATAAATATAAGTGGTAGCTCTCAAACGGGAGGCCTCTAGGCCCTATCACAGTTTCATATCTTTAAAAAAATACCAAAAATGTAGTTGTCTCTTTATCGGCACAGAGATTTTTTTTTTCTTCTCCTGTGTCAGCCGTCAGCCTATAATACAAGGACGTATGAAGTTTCTTGTAATTTAAATCCAGGAAATCTAGTGCCCATTCTGCTGTGGATATTGTCACACCTGGAGCAGAAGGAGCATAGGGCTTAATTACTGCCCTGTGCTATAACCTGGTTTTGCTACGTCTTTATTATTCCAGTGTAAGTTGTGTGAAGCATCTTGGGGACAATGGCATGCCAGGCCATTTATTAGTATTGCAGGTCACTTAGAGGAAAAATACTTCCTAATTTTTAAATAATAGGTGCAGCCTTTAGTGAATTGGCTTCTCAGCTATGTGGGTTCTCAGGTGTTCACATGATTTCAACTTTTCTTCTGGGTGTGGTCTCTTTGTGGAATGTTGTTTTCACAGATTTTAGTTTCCCTTCTCCCTGATTTCTCTCTGGGGTATTGTAGGAAAAAATCCTAGTTGCTGTAAACTAGTATTTACCATACAGGAACATTAGTATTTCTCAGTTGAGAAGATTATGGCACTGAAGGATTTGTAAAGGTGCGTCAAGGTGCTAGACGTACTCGAAATCTTTTCTCATACTACAGACCTAGGAACAGACTGGAGAAGAGAGAGTAAAGGAATTCTGTGATTATGTGTTGCTGTGACAAGTTTGAACTAAAGGAAGTTTTCTAAAAAGTTCTTTTTAGAAATATATTTACAATACCAGAATCATCAAGAGCCTACAAATCCTGACTCTTCAAGTAGAGACCAGTAGCACCAGCCTTCAGACTTCATGTCTGAACTATGTAAGTGTGTAAAAAGGATGCAAAAATACCTTCTGACCTTGGGACGGCCTTTTATAGTTATACTAGCACAAATTAAGAAATGAAGAAAACTTTCAAAGTTCTTTTGATATATTGCTGAATATCTGAAATTATGTTGATTAACTTTGAACCTAACAATTAGTAGTAAAGCTCTGTGCAAAATGATACTAATTTTCATGTGGTCATTAATTAAAATATTCATGTTTTCTGTAGATACCCTGAGATTAACTCATCTTGCTGGGAAACAGGCTGTAAATATTTTCACTGCCACACATGCTATGACAGGGCAGGAGGAAATTTCACATCCAGCTGTGGGTTTGAAATCTCATCTCATTCGTTTGATTGGAAATTTGTGTTACAAAAATAAGGAAAACCAAGACAAGGTAAGTTTATACAGTTTTCTGGCAGAACTCTGACATGTGGACAGATGTGTATGCCTGACCGTGACTTTACTGATGAAAATATATTGTTGATCTACAAATAGCGATTAGAATTGGTCATGTAAAGGAGATAATTTTTTTTTTAGTGTCTTTAAGTTACTGTAACAGGTATGCTATCTTTTTAATAACAATGTGATGTGTGCCTGTCTACCTTTTACTTCAGTTCTTAAGAATGCAAGCCAGTGCCTAATTCCTTTATTGTTTTCATATTTGCACTTTCTTTGAAAAGAAAATGTCTAGACTAAACCCCAACTTCACTTTGAAGGGAAATGGATGGGAATTGTTGCATGAACTTAATTTTAAATCCTTGAATTAGTCTCTAATGCTTTTTCCCTCCCCTTCCTTAAATTTTTTCATGCCACTTTAAAATGTAGGTCTGCTTCCCTCAAATCACTTTGAACTCTTTATCTTTAGAATTCCTGTATGGAAAATTAGTTTTGATTCCACAATGAGGAAAAAGAGGAAACAGCAGCATGTTTTTAAATATGAAACCTTTTTTTCTTAGAGTTATAAAAGATGTGGCTTTCCTCCAGGACTTGTTAGACTAACCTGATTTCAGCAAGAAAAGCAGTCATGAAAGAATGTTGTCTTATGGTTCATCTGAGCACTTCCAAAAGTAAAGTAGGTTACTTTTCTCATTTGGCCTAAGCAACCACTTGGTGTATTACAGTAGCCTCAGTTTAATGAAAGCTTTCTGTTTCTCTAGTTCTTTCTGGTGAGCTTCTTGTTGTAGAGAAACCCTCTGTTGACTCCCGTATCTTCCTTTTCTCTTAAAAGTGTCTTTCCTTATGGCAGCCTTGTCCTGGAAGGAAATGGTCTTGAGTAGCCTTTGTTATTGATATTTGTTATTAAACAGGGAAATTTGGGATTGTTTTCCTTTCTTTACTTCATTAATTTGAATCAAAGTTTTCACCTCCTCTCAAGGAAGCAATTTATAGGCTGGAAAATGAAAAACACAGAAGAAAGGCTGTATCAAAAAAGGCGTAAAGGAGAATAATGGAGTATTTTTACTTCTCTCTTATGATGTCAAATGAGGCCTATGTCAGCAAGTAACAAAAATGCAGTAATTAATACTGGTTACTCTGCAGGAAGTTACATATGATGACAAACTCTGAGTCTGATTCTTTGTTGCCAAGGAGCTATTGAGACATTGAGTACTGCAAAATCAGTCTCTGTTAGAAGCTTCTGTTTCCTAAATATTTTTTGTTGTTGATTACTTCATTTTACAAAGATAATAGATTCTTTTGTACTGATGCCATCAAATCCGGTTTCAACTGCTGCACCGTCTACCAAGTTAGACTTTTATGACGGCAGCAGGGCATTTTCATAGTGTATGAGGGGAGTGCTCCCATTTCCTTGTTTTTTTCTGCAGGGTAGAGAAATGGAAAATCTGAGGAATGCTACCCTCTTTGTCTGACAAATGCGAATAATATGGGCATATAGATGGGAAAAATGGTAATGATCCTCCCTTTCCCCATTCATATTACAGTGTACAATAAAAGATTTTAATATTTCTGAAAAATATTATTAATCCTATTAATCACTCTTGCATAGCTCTGGCTTTGACCCGTTATGATGTAATATGTATTTATGTAAGTGAAATACATTTTTGTGGAATACCTTATGATAGTGGAGGGGAGGGGGTTGCTTTCATTTTGAAAGGGTTGATTTACTGCTTATTGTTCATTTTCGCTGGGATTTTCAAAGGCCCCTGGAGCAATTAGGCATGCAGGCTTAGTGTTTTCAGTGGAAGCTGGGTATTAACTTGCCTTAAACTGCATGCAAATATTATTGCTTTATGCTGTCTTGAAAATTACTTAGATTCTTGTGTGTGATATCATGGAACATTATTTAAGTGCCGTTGAAACTTTAGAAATGCCAATAGTATGATATCCTGTCTGTACCTTCAGTTGATTTCATACATTTAAATTGATTCTAATAACTTTTCATTTTTAAGGCAGTTTCCATACATAAACACATGGTTGTGAGGACAGGGCAAGCAGCCCGTATCATTGTACAGATAAGAAAACTGAAGTTTTGAGATGGGAGTGAATTGTTCAAAGTGGTGCGTGTGTCAGACCTAGAATTGGATGAAAATGGGGTTAGTTCCTGGGTTCCCACATCTCTTTTCAGAGTATGATCTCACAATATAGGTCTTGTTTTGTATCCATTACTGGTTTTACACAGAGTTTACTTTCTATATTCAATCAAAAGTAATGTAATACAGGGTAGATTGTGTTTTTATATAACAAGCCAACTGTCCAACACATCAGAGAGACCTTGGGCTTTAAAATTGGCTTTTGCTTTTGTGAGACTTACCGTCTGAATTGTAGGCGCAAGCTGGGGAAGTGGCTTTCTCTTCAGTCAGTTTAGCTGTTTGCCTGGCATAAGAGGGCTGCATGTCACTTACTCTTGAACAGCGCTGTTAGTATTCTGACTCTTTAATGAATGGAGACTTTCACACTTGTTTTCTTTAATATTTTTTCTGTAATTTCCAGTCCCAGTAGAGCTCTTTTCCTAGTAACAATAGTCATGCATTAGTAAATGGAGTAATAATAAATAATAAAAACTATAGCCCCTATTTTTATAATATAACCTTAGTGCTTGGTGTTGGTCTGCCTGACTTGTTCTGAAAACGCAAGTAGTTCCCAAAGACTTGGGGCTCGAATGGTGACTTGGGCTAAGCCCACCGAGTGGACAGAGTTGCATCACTGTCTTCAGGAGCTTCTTCAAGAGTTGAGTGACAACCTGCTTGCTCTCTGGGAGGTGGGTCTTGAGCCAGCCTATGCCTCATGCAGTGCGTATCTCCTGAAGTATGATGGTGCAGTCCTACTGCATGGGGCGCTAGTGACAGAGTTAAAGCAACAGAGAATGCCTGGAGTGGGAGGATAATTGCTCTGCAAAGGCTGCTTCTCCATCTCTGTTTATGGTCTCCACCTGCTATAAGAACAATAATTGCAGGGGATTAGTGCACTGTTTTGTTGGCAGTGGTGAAGAATCTTGTAATGCCTTAGAACAGAGAAATATCTTACTAGTGCTTTATTGCTTCTTTACTTTCTGTTTAAAACCATTCTTTGTTTTTAAAAAGCATTCTTTAGCTTGTACTCTCTTAGCATTAGGAATGCATTCTTTACATCTTTTCTTCCTCATAGTTTTATTTACACTGTTGTGATAAGTTCTTAAGATATAAGGGAGTGGGCAGACATTTAAGCCGTAAACTGAGATGCAGTTATTAAAATGGGTCTTGCCAGGCTTACTGCCCACTTGCAAGGCTAGATGGGTTGGTATTTGTAAGAAAAGTGTCTGAAAAAATGTTCATTTTGGACTGATAAATGTTGGGTACAAGCATGTCCTGAGTTGCACACACTCTTGCATGAAGAGGAGAGAAGAACAAATAAAAGTGCTGTACTTAGGACACCAAGTGTTGAGCTAGTTCTGTTCTAGTTTCTAGTTCTGTTGAACCTGCCAAGAGCCTGCAGTGGATGTGTAGTTCTGTGCTTTCTCTCTCTGTAGGAGGGAGGAAGAGCTGTCAAGAGTTATTGTCATACGTGTGGGGCAGTCCTGTGGCTTGTATTTTGTTATGTCTCCTTCACAAAGATGCATTGTATGTTTTTATTAAATACACTGGAAGGAAGGAGGTGGGTTCTCAGGCTGAGCAAGGAGTGGAGGTTTTGGCTGGTAGTTGATGAATGAAGTTATCAGAAGGAAAAAGTGAAAATTCCTCTATACTCCCCTCACCTTGTTTGACTTACGAAAGAAACCTAATGAATGAAGTACAGAGGATATAATCCTTTATTGTAGAAATGAAACAAATACAAAATAGGTCATAGCAATTAATCTGCACTGCTGTTTCTTTGTTCATTTACAAAAATATGTACTGGAAGGTGAGATGGCTAATCTCTGCCTTACTGTGACAGACAGCACTGCTCTGCACAACCTTATTACCTTTCCCTAAAACTGTTGTTTATGTTGTGAGGTGTTTATACAGTATGACTTGTTTAAAATACTTCATTTAATTGCAAGTGTCATCAGTACTTGAATAAGCAATGGAATAATGTAGACCTTATCCTGCATTGTTTCCCTTCCTCTCTTGTAAAGAGGGGAATTACAGAGACTTCAATCACATAACCTTGCTGGAGTTAGTAAATAGGGAATTGAAAGGAAGTAGAAAGCTTGACAAAGTTTAATTGCAGTCTTTATTCACTGTTCACTTTAGTTCACTATTACTTCTGAGATCAAACGGGGGAATCTGAATTGCCTGGGGCTTCTGTCCTGTGAAAACTATTCCCGAAGGATGCAGCGTTGTCTGGAACAACCTAGATGTGAGACATGAGCTGCGTTCCTTGCAATGGGGGAGCAGCCAGCTGGCAGAACGTTGGCGTGCTGAGATCATGCTGTACTGTTGCCTTTTGAAAGGGATCCTGAAGGGAAAAATTGTGACGTTTCTGAATGCAAAGTTGAGCCTAACTTAGTAAGAACAAAGCACTTAGCTTGGGTTTGATGGTGTAATCTGGTTGCATTGGCTTTGCTGTCTTTAACTGACTCTTGTTACTGATAGGATAGGTAGTTTATTGCTACCTGCTCACTTTGTCTAGCAATACAGTTAGTATGCTGGGACGGATACATGCTGAGAGATCCTTATCCCCTACAGAATACTGAATACACACAAGTGTATTTTTGAGATGTCTCTTTTTCTTAATCAGCCTGTTAAAAGCAAAACTGATCCCCTCAGGTAAAGAAAGCAATCCATGTCCGTATGCCAAGGACGTTTTAGATACTGGGAACGCTGGTGGACCCAATGATAGGGTATTAATCTAGGTATGTGCGTGTTTCATTGGTAAAGTTGTTCTGTTGTTTATGTAGGGGGAAAAATTTTAAATACAGTGTTGTCTTTGGTACTGGCACCTGCACCTTCTTACCTAAATGGAATCACTCTAATGAGG